TTTCAAGAAGAAGTATAACGTCACCGTGATGGCTGGTGTGCCGGTAGTCAGGATGACCAAGAAGATCAAAAAGGAGCCCGTCTACATGCCTATCGACGTCCTGACGATCGATGGTAACCAGCGTTACACTACCAAGCTCAGCGATACCCAGACATCCAACATGATCAAGTTCGCCGTCACCCTTCCCAAGGAGCGTTGGGCCGCTGTTCAGCAGGGAGTAAAGTTGCTCAACTGGGCGAATGACCCCTACCTCCGCCACTACGGCCTGAAGGTTAGCTCCACGCCTGCCAAGGTACAAGCTCGTATTCTCCCTTCGCCCACCGTCCACTTCGGAGCCGGTTCCAAGGAGGCCACCATCAAGCCTGCGGACATGATCGCCGGTCGCTGGAGGCTGGACGGTCGCAAGTTCGCCATGAACAACAAGGAGCGTCCTATCAAGGCGTGGGGTGTCTGCTGTGTCCAAGGTCGTGGCAGTCCTCCTCCTCAAGCCATTGAAGCCTTCTTCCAGAAGTTCGTTCAGATCTACGAAGCCCACGGTGGACTTGTAGCCGCCCACCCTCAGCATGGCAAGAAGCCGTGGATGGGCCCCGGTAACCTTGCTGATGGTGGTGAGATGATTCAGAAGGTCTGGAACCAGACCGGCAACAAGTACGCCATGCCACCTAATCTGCTCTTCTTCGTCGTCAACGACCGCAATGTTGACGTCTACCGTCGCATCAAGAAGTCTTGCGACATTCGATTCGGTGTGGCTTCGCAGGTTCTCCAGGCCAAGCATGTCATGTCTGCTTCGCCCCAGTACATCTCCAACGTCTGCATGAAGGTCAACGCTAAGCTTGGCGGAGCTACTTCGGTTGCGAAGTCTCAGCTCATTCCCAAGGTTGCCCCGAAGTCAGCATCTATCCCAACCATGGTCGTTGGCGCTGATGTCTCTCATCCTGCTCCCGGAGCCGCTTCAGGTGAGGCTGCGTCCTTCGCCGCCATCACGGTATCCGCCGACGTCCACTTCGCCAAGTACTGGGCTGAGGTTCAGACCAACGGTAACCGCGTGGAGATGGTCACAACCTCCAACATCAACGACCACTTCGGATTCATGGCCAAGAACTGGATGCAGAAGATCGGCCAGGGCAAGCCTCCTCAGCGTGTACTCTATATTAGAGATGGCGTGAGCGAGGGACAGTACGCCGCTGTCCTTGAGGAAGAAGTCCATGACATGAAAGAATGCTTCAAGAAGCTGGGCTGCAAGGAGATCCCCAAGTTCACCGTCGTCATTGCTGGTAAGCGCCACCATATCCGCTTCTTCCCTGAGGCTGGCAAGGGTGACCGCAACGGCAACCCTCTTCCCGGTACTTTGGTAGAGTCTGGCTGCACCCATCCGTTCGAGTTCGACTTCTATCTCTGCGCCCACGTTGCCATCAAGGGTACAGCTCGCCCCATCCACTACCAGTGCATTCTCAACGAGGGTGAGTGGCTGTCGGCCGAGCTCCAGCAATTTATCTTCGAGCACTCATACCACTATGTCCGCTCTACTACTCCGGTGTCCCTGCACCCTGCGGTCTACTACGCCCACTTGGCTGCCGACCGTTCCCGTGCTCATCTCAACGACAACCCGGTCTCGTCTGGCAAGAAGGAGTCCAAGGCAGACCAGCAGTCTTCTACTGGTTCATCCAAGCAGAACGTCGAGATCGCTCCGTTGATGCCGATGCAGAACGCACGCGGCCTCAGGGATGTTATGTGGTACATCTAAGGGACGAAGAGAGGTCAAGCCGGTCGGTAGTGCTGGATAGGATGGCTTCACTGGTTCGGAACACAATGGAGGACTCGGTTGCGACGATGGCGTGAATCTGTTCACGGCGCATCAAAAGTCGGTGATTCGGTATTCTCTTCAATCTTTCCTTGCGATATCCATATTTCATGGTCCTAGCGAGGACATCTCATGATCTCAGGTAGTATGCCTCGCCCGTCAGCGGCCTGGCAGAATCAATATGGTATAAAATAACTCCTGTTGCTTTGCGACGTTGTGATGTTGCGCATACGTGCTGAGCTTCTCGCATCTGTTAACATGCCCACGAACTATCAGCCAGATCAGTTTGATACAGTGTCCATCGCCGGAACTGAGTTGAGCGTCTAAGAGGAGACCGTCCATGGGCTCAGCCTAGATTTTACCTTGCTCTTCACGATCCGAAGGCTAACCTATCGCAGGCTCAGACTGCCGGGTGCTTAGCAGAAGTATAGCCACGGCCTTGATGACCCAAAAAATGGCGCCTGACCCTGAGGCGAGCTTCCAATCAGCCTGAATTGCTGTTGTATCGATTAAGTGGCCACGAGCTCAAGAGAGTCGATGCGCATGGAGATTTTCGTTTCCTCTCGTTGCGATCGGGTACAAGCTGTTAATTTCACGAGGAAACGCGGCCACGAAGTCGAAGATCGCAGAGCTTGCAACTTTGCGCCGAAGAAGGGAGGTCGTACTCGCCGGGGTGGCAGAGAAGAGCGCGCGTATTGTATAGAATGGCAGAACGATGAGAGTCGGGGTAAGAGTACAAGGAAGCCTGTGATATGTGTTTCTAGGCTTCTGAACAATTGCAGATGTCTAGTTGACAATGGGTAGATCGACACAGACGGATTGCTGCCTGTTCCTATTGCGAAATCGTGTGCGAAGGTTGAGAAGCACTTTGAAGGCAGGGAGAAGACGACAGAGGCACTTCTGGCTTGCTGGACGCGCCGCGCATCACGAAGCGCGATATCAGAGGACTTTGCGCTTAAGAAGACGATAGGATCATTACAAGTCTTCTATCACAGCTTCAGCGAACGCGAAACGAGGATGTCAGGGTATTCACATACTCGATCGAGTCCCGAGCGCAACATCACATGCAGGCAGAGAGGTATGTACCGTCCAATATATTTACCTTCGCTCCACCAGCGCAAAGCGCAGAAGAGAAGGGGGTAAGCGAACGCATGATCATTCTAACCTCCATTTTCCCCTCCAAATCTTCATTGAGTGGAAGACACAGAGTGAATAATGGGGTGTTCAGTTTTAATGAACAGAAGAGGATCGCGCGACGCGTTGATTTTGATGGCTGCGAAGATTTCGGATGACTAAGGGGCGCTTGCATGGTTGGGGTTAGCAGCCAAGCAGGGGTCATGTGAGCGAATCAAGGCTGGCGCGTTGGGTGTGACGAGTATGGTGGGGCAGGGGATTTTGGGCGGCGGCGCGGGGTTTTGCTGTCGGCCTGTGGGAGTGACTCTTTTGCGAAATTGAAGACCAAAGTGAAGTTTTAGGCCTACTAGGTGAATAAAGACTCTGTAGGCGGCGAACAACGTGGGGTGGGAAGCTAACAACCTGTAGTTTGATAGACCTGCACCCTCACACCCGCCCTTGTGAACGGAGATCCTTAGGTACACAAACGCACCTTACCCACTCTCCACTAAAGCTTCCCACGGTTCGGACTACTGCGAGAAGAACTACACACTCAACCGCAACCCCAAACCCTTCGATACCGACAAAGTCCCTCGATCAGCATACGGACTCGAGCTGCAAGCAGTCACCGAACACTTTCCACTCCTCCACAAACAACTCAGACACACAGCATGTCTTCAGCAGGACGTGGCCGCGGCGGCAAGTTCAACAAGGTCAAGCGCGGAGGCGGCAAGAAGTTCTCACGCGACCTACAACCGCTGAACGCAGATGGCGAGGTCGTCGGCATGTGGGGTGTAAGTACCTGGTGTACCCAAAGTCACAAAGACTGTCTAACAAACAACTGTAGGAACAACCCGACAAGGTTGACGAAGAGTCGTCCGAAGAGGAAGAATCTTCTGAGGAAGAGTCTGGCGACGAGGACGGCAAGCCCGCACAAGAAGAACTGACGCGCGAGCAGCGTCGCGAACTCGCAAAGAAGCGCAAGGCGGCCGCGATCGCGAAGAAGTCACAGAAGACCCCCGAGGCAGGCGATATGCCCACCGACTCCTCCGAAGAGGAAGACGACGATATGCCCGCGAACCCAAACCACACTGCGAAAGCCCGTACACAAGCCGCAAAGGCACCTGTCGACCCAGATGCGGAGCCCGCTGCTGCCGCTGCTAAGGGCAAAGGCAAGCAGCAAGACCTGTCCCAGTTGTCCCGTCGCGAGCGTGAGGCTCTCCAGGCACAAGCCAGCAAGGACCGGTACGATAAACTACACGCTGAGGGCAAGACCGAGCAAGCTCGTGCCGACCTTGAGCGCTTAAAGCTGGTTCGCGAGCGTAGGGATGCTGAAGCGGCGCGGAAGAAGGCTGAGGCTGAGGAGCGTGCTGAGCTGGAGAAGGAGAAGAAGGAGCTCATGGACCGTGAGAACAGGCGGCGGGAGCAGGCCAAGGGCAAGGCGGACCGTCTTGCTAAGGGCGGCAAGAAGAAGGCCTAAGTCTGACAGTCATTGTTAGGCTTGGAGCTTTCGCGACGTTACCAGTTACCTCTGCGACGCCCGGATGCCGGTATATGTGTGCGAACGCACTCCGTTCCACGCTTATGGGTTGCGCGGTTCGCGTACGGCGTAGCCACTTCGAGTTACTGGTCGATGCTCATGATGCGATGATAGAATCGAGTACAGGACGGCGGCATGGTGTATACCATGTAGCCTGCTGGATGTTCCAAAGAAGAAACAAATGTGATGCAAGTTCACGAGCCATGAACACCATTTTGCTTGCCGTGACCAATGCACCAAGACTAAGAAGATGCACGCCATGTGACCGATACCCAACATCTCACGTTCAGGCGGCCTTAATACTGCACAGCATCTAGAAAATTCGATGGCAGATACGAGTCCGTATGCTGAGCCGTGAGCCCTCAAGCCGCCCTTGTGCTTCCCCGCGAGTTAGTGCCTTGCCTCGCGAACGCGAAGGTTCACGACTTCGTCATCACTCCCTCCACTATATGAACATCGCGATGGCGCCACTGATGCTTCCTATCATGCGCATATACGTACAGATCCTCTCGTATCGTTGCGCATCGCGTTACGACTGTGTTGAGCATGGCTGAACCGATACCTGCTGAGGAACAGTCTAACTTCGAAACCTTTCGCGACTGTTTGAGCGAGCCCGTCCTCAAAGCTCTGGCTGCACCGATCGAGAAACCGAAACCGAAGAAGAAAAGACATGCGAAGAAGGGGTCGAAGAGTGGGAAGGATGAAGTCGTGAAGCACGAGCCCGTACCAACGGTGGTAGAAGACCAAGAAACGGATGCGGAAGACCTAGGAGAATTCATAGAAGTATACCATCCCTACAAACATGAACACACCTACCCTAGAACCTCACTAACAAAAGAACCAGTACCTAAGCACCCTAATCTTCCCCTTCCTCCCAGCCGAACTGCGCACGCTCACGCACTCCATCTTCAAAGACTCACCGACCCTCCAAGACCTCTACACAACGCCCCTCTCGTCCTCAACCTCCACCGCCCTCCTGCACACCATCCCACCCACCGCAATCGACAGCCTAGAAAGCTACGGCCTCCTCCCACCCACCTCCGACACCATCGACCAACACAACCTCCTCACACCGCTCCTAACAACGTACATCACCGCCGTCACCGCCCCGCCCCCAATATGGAGCAGCACGCGCGCCACCGCCTGCGAGCTCTGCAGCAGAGACTGGGTACCGTTGACATACCACCATCTCATTCCCAAAGCAGCGCATGCGCGCGTGCGGAAGCGGGGGTGGCATACAGAGGATAAGTTGAATAGCGTGGCGTGGTTGTGTAGGGCTTGTCATAGTTTTGTGCATCGACTTGCGGGGAATGAGGAACTGGCTAAGAATTTCTATACGGTCGAGTTGATACAGGAGGGTGGGGTGAAGGAGGATGTCGAGAAGAGGGAGAGTGTTGAGGGGTGGGTTAAGTGGGTTGGGGGTGTTAGGTGGAGGAGTCGGTAGGAGGTGGTATGATGAAAGGGTGTTGGATGCGGTGTTCTGAGGTTGCCACTCGAATGCTTTGGAGTGCCTCTTGTATTGTCCCTGGATGGATGCGCGACACCTTTTGGGTTGCGAGTACCATGGGATGGAGGCCTCGCTTCTCTGTATTCTGCCACCACTTTCATGCTCTATCTCATATTCACGTCTCTGTCTCGCACTTTTGGACCTCATTTCTCTGCGTATACGCTCCTCACACACACTAAGCAGTCATGCTGCCACTCTTCGCCTACTCCGTCTTCCGACTCACGATCTACCCCATTTTCATCGCCCTCATCACTACCGTTACGGCTATCGTTACAATAGACCCATTCAAGAACACTACACTTCAGTACTTTGCTATTGGAAATATCGGTGTAGCGTTATGGGGTGTACTTGCGGGTGCCCTATAGACCGTGAGAAGGAGCAGCAATTGGAAAGAGAAGTCACAAGAGCAAAGAAGCAAGCGGAGAAGTCATTGTGGTGTGGTAAAAAATGGTATTGATTCATCCATCAGAGGTCAAGTCAACCAGACGACCTCTGGAAAGCACATATGCACGCTAAAATGAGGATATACAACGGGTATCCGACCCTCAAAACGCCGGTGTCGATATGCGACAATGCCTAATCCAAACATGTAATCGTTGATACAAATCCCGCAAGTCCAGCTCAGGGATGATGATTATAATGGCGCGTCGTCCAGAAACCCCTTCTCAACCTCGTCCTCAAAGATCGAATACGAGCGCCCGCGCTCGCTCATCTTGTTCTCCTTCTTTCTCGCATCGAGACTTGCGCGAACATGTTTCAGGAAGGCCTCAGTGCTTGGGTCGCTTGGTGTACGGTGGAGTTCGCAAGGCATATTCGATGCCATTGCAACGGGTGCTGGTGCAATGATGTTGGAAGAGGTGATTGCTGACGTCTTTGTCTTTCGCTCAACGGTACACAGCCTCTTCGCAGACTCCCTGAACTTCTTGAAGGGGTCCTCGACTTTGGTCTCAAGCTTCTCGAGCTTGTGTAGCATCTGGAACTCCTCGCGGACTCGTCGTGCTGCCCACTCACCGGCAGGGAAGGATCTTCGTCGTTGAGTGGTGGCGAGGTAGTCGTGGTACGTGTCGCTACTCAAGCGAAGCTCGAACTCGCTTGCTGGGTTGCTGTGTGTGGGAGCAGGAACCGGCGCAGGAGCAGCTATGGGTTCCGGTGCGACAGGAACAGGTGTGGAGCTGAAGTCGACGAGTTGACCTGGATGCACTTCACCCGTGCTGTCACACCGTGTGGATGGCGCCAAGACTGGCAAGGTCTTCTCGGTACTGCTCTTCTCGGAGGCGAATAGAGCTTCAGCATCTGTTGCTCTTGAATCGACTCTTTGTCTTTTGCAGCTTTCCTCTATCCCCGACCTTGGAGAGCCCGAAGCCGACGATATGGATGTGCGTGGGCTGACGTCAGGGGAGCGATCTTGACTCTTCCGCCGAGACCCAAAGCCAAAGCTGAAGTTCATGTTGAAGATCTGACTTGCCCGGCGACGACGCTTCTTCTTGAGGTTTGGGAACGACCATGGAGCGGCGCTCTCTGGTTTCGATGCCATGGGGCCGGAGTGAGGCAGCAATGATGGGAGTGGTCTGCTTGTGACTGCCATCTTGAAATGGTTTGGAGTTGAAGGTGTGAGTGGCGTAAGGGGTTGGAACGGGTTGGTGAAGTGCAAGTTGTTGTTGTTATTGTGGTTGTTGTAGGGCCCTTGCTTGGTGACTCTCGGTAATGGGAGAGTACGATGTGTGTTCTGTTGTGGAGGATAATAGAGTTGCAAGTTTCGTGCTACCTGGCTCGCGGCGGTTGTCTCACTGGATAAGTAGGCGTCTCGTGTGAATGCATAGAACAAGTCATCTTGCAGGCAGTGTTCACGAGGCGCTGGTCGTGGGAGACGTGGGTCCGCGAAAGGCGATGCCGGCGAAGTGTTGGTCGAGGTTTGCTGCACGGGGAAATTCGGAAAAGGGCTGGTTTGTACTGGCCATGGGGGCGTGGTGCAGTCATATGGTGTTGGCGCGAACATTTGACCTGTGATCGCGTGGGTGTGGCCTCGTGCCGAGCACGCGGATGTGACTCCGAAGTTTTCCCGATAGCGGATTGGAGTTGCGGTGTGGAGCTGGTAGTCGCCAGCCATGTGTTGGTGATTTGATGGTGTCTCGGTAAGCGAGGTCCGGTGAGTAAATGCGCTGGACTTTCTGCTATGTTTAAAGATCGTCGCCTGGGAGGTAGCCGCGGTAGCCAGAGATAACGACTTTGTGTGCTCTTGACCGCTGAAGTCGATTCCACGTTATATACCGCCTCTTCTGCATCATGGCATCTGCACGAGCTCGCCGACGAAAAGGCTCACCGCGCCGGTACACTTGCCCGTGCACCGCCCCTCAACCTGTGCATTTGCGTGCCTCGACACTGACAGACCCGGATATTCCAAAAAGATAGAAAAACAACCTCCCCACGGGTCCTGTCATCATACATCACTCTTACACCTCATGCCACCGTACCTGCGGGCCCACACGCCCTCTGCCAGCGGTACAACCAACAGCACACCGCACATCGTGACCAGGTCCCACGCAACTCTGCGACACTAGCTTGATGACGGCGCGTTGTTGGTGAAGTTGATCGCTGGTTGGTTGCGGGGGCGCGACGTGCCGTTTGGCACCCGTGGGTAAGATGTGCGTCGGATTGTGGGTGAACCGTGGGCGGCAGACCGAGATCGCCGACTAGTGAAGTTTGGCATTGAGATCCAGGGTCCATGACAGATCTCAACGCATCTAGATCTGAACGCCTTAGTGCGCAGCGTGAACCATCGCGGAGAACAGCATCAAAAGCAATCTGAGAACTGGGAGTTGTTATAGAAACAGCGGAGATGCAGGAGACACGTGCTGATCCTTCCATCTCAGGTACCAAGATCTGAGCTCGCTTCTCGCCGAGCCGTACCGGGTGGCCTCGCAACCAGAACGTAGCCATGAGCTAGTATTCAGGAGGCTGTGTATGGAGCTGAACGGACGAGCGCTTCAAGGTGACTCCGTGAACACATCGTGCCTTCTTCAAAATTTCATGTGCCGAGGTCGACTTGGCGTACCTTGGGCGAACCAGGAAAAAGCATAGTGGGTGTTGACGACCTTCTAGATCAGCAGTGCAGGTCTGGTGACGCACACTGTCCATAGAATTTGATACACATGTACTTAACGAGGTTGAAGATGAACTACCACTCCGCCTCAATGTGTTGACTGCGTAAGTACCTCGGTAGATGAGCGCGGTACAGCTAGGCTCGAGCCAACCAAGAAGCAAGGAGCACGGCAAACATTCTGTCAACACCGTGTTGATCTATGACAGCATGTGTTCTTCATCAAAATCAAAAACTCACTGCCTCAGCGGCTCTTCGTCTTGGCCCTTCTTTCCAACTCCATAGCCCCGATGATCGCGCAACCAACTCCACTCCCGTCTTCCGCGCTCGTGATTGTGATAGGGCCATCTCCTCCACAGTCTTCTTCTTTCCATCCCAGCACCTCACCCAAAGCCTCAGCCCATCTCCTCTTGAACTTTGGATGCTTGTTTGCCACGCTTCCATCAGCAGCTACATGACCCTTCTCGATACCTTCCATGGTGCAAATGGCAGCTACACCACAAGCACACAGTCGCGCACCACGTACAGCGATCATCTCAGCTAGTCTTCGCGAGAGTTCGATCTCGACGTCTGTGGGTTGTATCGAGAGTGTGGAGTGGAAGAGTTCGCGTGTTTTTGTGAACTTGGGCGACTCGTCGTCTTCTATCTGAGATAGGAAGCCTGTATCGATACTGTATGGCTCACGCAGCTTTTGTAGTCCCTGATCTGAGGCTTGACTGAAAACGAGATCGCGATCTAGAAGATCGACTAATATGAGACGAAAGATCTCGCCTAGGTACAGGCCAGCAGAGAGCTTCTCGAAAGTCTGCTCGCCAGGTCGGGGGCTCTCTTCATCGATCTGCTCGTCGTACTTTGTAAGGGGAAGCACACGCTTGGCTTGATCAAAGGCGCCATATTCGCAATTGATCGCCATCTTCTCTTCACCCTTCGTTGCGCCGTTGTAGGATGACGCGTCCTTGATTCTGTCGTCGTTGGAGTCCAGTTTTCCAATTCTTGAGAGGCTGGCCATGAAAGCTGCATTGCAGCCAGTACCAAAGATAGCGCCAACGATTGTTTCGGGGTCGTTGTAGGCGGAGGCCACCATGGCACCGACGGTATCGTTGATGACGCAAATCAACTCGACCGGCAGCTTCCTGTCTTGCAGCTTCTCTCGAAGTTGCTTCGCGGCATCCTGACCTTCTACGCCCTTGATATCGAAACCCTTGGTCCACGTCTGTAGAACTGCGTGGTCGATACGTTTCTGTGTCGCTGGGTAACTGAATGTGAAACCTAATGGCATAGACTTCTCCGCGGTGTATTGTTGATCTAGTTGGTGGTCCTGGATGAATGCCGCCACTTTTTCCGTAACGAAGTTCCAGAGACTATCGGCATCGCCAGTCTTCATCTCCTCCGGTAGCTTGTATTGCTCTTGCTCCATGCTGTGCTTCCCATTTCCTTCTTTCCCGCCTTCATCTCCATGCAGATCTACTTTGCAAACCCTCAGATTCGTACCACCAAGGTCAATAGTCAATATCGTTCCCTTCTCTTTCCCCGAAGGCAGATTATGCACCCAGGTGATGTTCATAGGAATGCCCTCTTGCTTGTCTTTGGTGAGGCCTTCTTCTAACTCCTCCCTGAAGCGGCTAACAATTTCCTTCAGTTTAGAACCGGAGATCCAAAAATTTTTGTCAAGTCGTGCAAGTTCATCGTCCAGATTTTGTGGTAGATCGGCCATCTTCTCGAGTTCAGAGCGTTGGCGCCATGATGTATTGGCCTCCTCGTCTATGCGCCGGCCTGCAGAGTTAGACATAATAAAGATCCAGTATTTCAGAATATGGAAAAGGTGACGAAAAGAGTCTCA